ATGATCGAACGTGGTATAGCATTATTCAAATAAGGCCTTATTCATCACATGCATTCCTGATTCTGTCTATTGGCATATCTATTGTGGTTACGGGAGTATGGTACACTTTTTCTTTTAGAAATCCCCACACAAAGAAATCTAATGGATTTAGGTCAGGGGATCGTGGAGGCCAGGCGACTGGTCCTCCACGGCCGATCCATCTTTCTGGATCATTTTTGTCCAGCCAGTTTCTAACTATTCTCGAATAATGAGCTGGACAACCATCAAGTTGGAAAAAGGCCAATCTTCTTAAATCTAACATAACATCATCCCACATATTTGCATGTTCAGCCTTTAAAAATTCCAAGAAGGTCGCAGCATTTAACCTTGCAGGCAAAAGGTAGGGTCCAAATAGTCGATTACGGTAGATACCAATCCACACGTTCACACTAAATTCATGCTGAAAATTTCTTTCCCGAACTGCATGCGGATTTTCATGCGACCAAATATGTTGATTATGAAAATTTACCACTCCACGTCTAGTGAAGCATTACTCATCGGTCCATAAAACGTTACTTAAAAACTCCCTATTATTATCAGTTCTATCAAGAATCCACTGACAAAATGTGATTCTTCGTTCTCCGTCCCCTGGCTGTAGTCCTTGCACAGGTTGCAAATGGTAAGGACGTCTATGGTCATTTCTAAGAACACGGTGAACATGGCTTGCTGAAATTCCCAAGGCACCAGAAACTCTCCTAACACATGTGGTCGGATCTCTATCAAACTCACGCAGAATCATACGGGTAAATCTGCGCTGACGAACATTTATGTTTTGATCCCTTTGGAGATTTCCAAAACCATTTTCAATTATTTGGCGATGCACTCTTACAAATACTGAGCGAGTTGGATGTCGTCTGTTTGGAAATCTTCGTGCGTATTCTCTGGCTGCTTCTGCTGCGTTTCCATTTACAAAGCCATACACAAAATGAATATCCGCTAACTCATTTTTATAAAAGTTACAAAAAAAAAACAGGTAAAAGAAACTAAATTTCGTGCATTCACAATTGCAAAAAAACGTTTCAGGTTTCAACGGACAACAAAACTAACTGTCAACTAATTGACGTTTAACCTTATTCGCCTTTCAATTTCAAAAATATTTGCAGGCACAGCCTACTTCTAAAAATTATCGAGATACTGACTTTTTAACGTTATTTTATCATAAATAATTAAAAATGCATCGAACCTTAAAAATCGAAATATCTCAAAAACGACTAACTATAACGAAAACTCACAGGAGAGCTTTTTTATGTTGAAAAGTGCGAAGAATCAGTTTTTTATTCAAAAAGCAAAAAATTGCACTAAGAAAACATTTTCGGTCATTTTAATACTCTACAGGTACAGTAGAGAGCGCCCTCTAGCGGCTACAGTAAAACTGTGCCCATGGTTCGTTTTGTCGTACCAAAAAACCCTTGTATACCAATTTTCAGTGTTATACATCAAATATTGTTCGAAATATTTAAAAAAAACTATTTTAGAAAGTAAATTTAAACACCCTGTATTTCGGGAGCCACGCATTTTTCGACCCATGTTTATATAGACTTTATGCATTAATTTTAAAAGTTCTATCGAATCTTAAAGTTATGCAACAATAAACTGAAACACCCTATAATATATGCAAAATGTATTAATGTTTCAGGAGCATCAAGTAGCAGTGTATATAAGAATTTGGCAGAGCACAAAAGAAGCATCAGTTTTGGACCACGTTTCACAAGAAACTAAGGCATTAATCCGAAGAAAAATCCACGAATTTTTCTTTTGAAATGAAGCCACATTGGACAAAGTTTTGATTGATGAAGGAACTTAATTTTCCGTAAGTGTATAAAAAACTTATATTGTTTTTTATGAGTAAAATACAAAACTAAAAAAATCGGTAAAATGTTCACACACAAAAATAGCTTAGAGTTTTTTATGTTTTTTATCATTCTTTATCTATACTTTATGACTAAACTAAATTTGCAATTTTGTTAAGATGAATCACCTAAAATTCGTTATTCGTATAATATGGTTCATTGAATTAACGAACTTAAATATTTAATGTAATTTTTAGTTTTGTAGGAAGGAAGCGAAATGGCATCTTGAAAAAAAAGTAAGTATAGAGAAGACGGCAGGAAGGTATACTAACTAGAGGAGACTTGGCTCAACGCAGGGCACACTGTTAGCAAAGTATGGGTGGATTCATCAGTTGAGCATCCTCGGCAAGCCTTCCTGGAAGGTCTCACCACGGGATTAAAAAATCCTTCAGGTAAAGGAAAACATAATTATCTTACACATCGGATCTGATAATGCCTTCGTGGAAGACGGACTATTGGCATTTGAATCAAAACAAGCACTGAGATCACCACGCCGATATGAATGCCAGTTTATTTGAAGAATGGATTGAAAATATAAGCCGTCTAGAAGAGAACGCTGTTATAAAAACAAATGCTCTTTCAAAAAAAAATCAAATTTTCATGATTATAACACGAGGAATAAGAACCAATTTTGCTTAGGTAAGCATAACTCAACTACTTACGGAAAGTCGCCTAGATATGCTGGTACACGTACATACAATAATTTACCAGAATCTCTTAAACAAATAGATAATGTTATGCTCTTCAAAAAGCACCTTAAGAGCTCTTATCTAACACCTTCTACAGCAAAGATGAGTTCCTTGCGTTTTTGTAGGACCTGAAATAATGCAATTGTCAGGAGGTCGATTAACTTCTCATTCACATGCACTTTTTAAATTTTATGTTATCAGTTTGTCTGTTGTTCTTTTAGTTTGTTTTTTATTTCGCCTTTACTTTTTAGAAGTATTATATGTGATACTTATGACGTGTTCCTCTCTATACTTAGGTATACTAAGTGACATATAAATCCGAACACCCAGTTTAAATGGTTTTATTTTAATAAAAGTTGGTGAATGTATTTATCTTACTGTAAATAACAAGTGAAAAAATTTTCAGCCTTATCAGTTGGACATTCCGGTTTTTATACTGCTTTTTTTAATTCACTAACGCTCTAAAAATGAATATTTCAGCCGCAGTAAAGAATCAACGTTGGCGGATTTTGGTTCTTGACATCATTTACGATCGGTTACGATGCCTAGAGTACGGAGACCTGTACGATTTCGTCAACTTAGTGAGTTTGATAGGGGCCGTATAGTGGGACTTCGGGAAGCTGGACTTTCTTTTCGGGCAATTGCGGTTAGAGTGCAAAGAAGTGTAGACACTGTAGTTAGGTGTTGTCAGGCATGGCTTCGAGAAGGCCGTACACAAAGAGCAAGGGGCACTGGACGCCGCCGTAGAACAACAGACCGTGAAGATCGCCGCCTAAGATTATTGGCCTTAAGGGACCGTTTCTCCACTACCAGGTCCATTGCAAATGAATGGTTTGCAGAACACGGAAGACCTATTGGCATGCGAAGTGTTTACCGACGAATGAGAAGTTTTGGCTTGTTTTCATACCGGCCACACTGGGTCCTCCCTTTAACTCGAGAACACCGACGTAATCGCCTTGAGTGGTGCAGACAACGGTCACTCTGGGATCAGGAATGGAACAGTATTGTCTTTAGTGACGAGTCTCGATTTTGTTTAGGCATGCACGATGGTCGTGCCAGGGTTAGAAGGCGACGTGGTGAACGGAGGAATCCACAGTTTTTTGTTGAAAGACATGTTCATCACACTGTTGAGTTATCGTTTGGGGTGCTATAGCTTATGGTTCCAGGTCACCTTTAATCTTCATCAGAGGTAACATGAACGCGCAGCGTTATATCCACGAAGTTCTAGAACCCCATCTTTTACCCTATCTTGACACCCTGGCAGATCCAACTTTCCAACAAGATAATGCCCGACCACATGTTGCAAGAGTCACAATAGACTTCTTTCAAAATGATGATGTCACATTGTTACCATGGCCACCAAGATCTCCCGATTTATCCCCAATTGAGCACGTGTTGGATATGATGGGTAGGAGATTGCTCAATTTGCAACGTCCTCCTCAGACTCTAGAAGCACTTCGAGAGGAGTTGGTGGTTGCCTGGAATGAGATACCATATGAGGACATTGACCACCTGATCAGAAGCATGCCTAGGCGGGTTGGAGAATGCGTAGCACATCAGGGTGCATCCACACATTATTAAAGGTCAAAGGGCTTTAAAGCAGTGCAATCATTTTGAAATTTTTATCATTTACTTATTATGCTTCATTAAGTACTTATACAAAATTTTATTAAAATAAAACCATTTAAACTGGGTGTTCGGATTTATATGTCACTTAGTATATGGGTCATTATCACAAAATCCATACTATTCCACTAGCAGTTTAATTAAAAATATACTTGAGTAGAAGATTATGATTTTAATATTTTTATATTTGTAGTGTCAGTCATTACTTGAAAAACTATATTTCCGAGATCATTGAACTTATTTTCTTTCAAAATTGAGAGAAATTTGAAACATGTGTTCACGGTGGTGAGACATTAAAAACGGAGGTGATATCTGATTTTCACTGAGGTGAGATATCACTGAAGAAGGTAACAATTAATGATTAATGATTATATATATAGCAGCAAAAAAGTAAATATATTTATTTAGAAATGCATTTTGTACTCCATAAAACATAAAATCAAAAAATAAACGTGATGAGCACACCTAAGGAAGTAAAAGCAATGATTACAATTATTAGGTATTAATACAGATTAGGGTAATCAAGGCTATCCAAAAAAATGTATTCATTGGTTTTCTCATTGAGCTCCGGGCAAACCAATGCAACTTGTATATCTGATATATATCTATATCAGCAATGTCATCTCGTTCTGGAAATACAAATGTTTTCTTTCCAGATATTTTCCTTCCAGTTGCCTTCATGAATTTGACGTTATATTCACCGCTTCCATCAACGCGAAGAATAACAGCAACGTAGTGTCGGATAATCTTCTTTCCAGTTAGTTTTACGAGAACATACGTGCCTTCATTGAATGTTGTGGAAATTTTGTCTTTCAAAACTGAAAGTGGGATGTCGTCGGAACTATCACTGCCAGAAGGTGAATAAACATCTTCATAGTGTAATCGGTCACAGTTGCTCATGTGGAAATCTGGAAAACAAAGGGTAATAATATTGAAGCAGTTAAACAGATGTCTACTTTTTACCTGCAGTTGCTGGAAATTGTATTTTGCCCAAACCATAATGCTTGCACTCTTCATCTGCACTACAAGTGATACATGAAAGCCGTCTCATTTGTAAAATGTCTGGAGCATTTATAGTCCAGCATACTTCATGTACTTTCATTGTTCCTCGGAAGACTGGCAGATCATCTGGAACAACATTATCTATCTCTTCGATGTGCTTCGAATTCAAACTAAGGACTATCACTTTTGTCGAATTACTCAGCATTTCTACCAAACTTTGAAGATTAGGAATGTCTCTTCCCATAGCAAACGATCAGCTTCTCGTTTGATAACAGCACCCACCCCATCAGGTGCACCTTTGCCATGACCAGTTTCACTATAATGCCAATACAGATGATTCACAGCTAAGTGTCTTGCTAGAAAGTGCGTCATCAAAAAAAACATTTTTTTATTTTTGTACTGGGTGGATGGACCATCTGATAAGAAATGCACATTCTTTATCCTTGTAATAATTTTTTGAATCTCGGTGATAGCCAACTGTAAGTGAGCGCAAACTGATTGAGGGTCATGTCGTAAGCTGTCTGATAGGGTACAAATAGAAAGCGGCACAGTATTTGACGTTACGGAATCCTTGTAGTATATAACTACAGTATGTAGCGTTATCTGTGCTTTGGAACCTCCAAAATGTGCTGATTGTACCTCTTCATTATATTTGCAGTTATAGTTCTCGGAGAAATCAGCATGTATTAAGATTCCGTCAGTTGACAGTTGTTGTTTTAATTTATCTATGGATCTATATTGATGAAATATATTTCTTAAATGAAGCAAGAATCCATTAAATCCTTGTTTTAGAATACGTACGATATCAGATTTTTTGCAAAATATTTTATCCTTAACTGTTTTTTTACATGTCTTTTCCTTCCCTTTTATTATCAGTACGTGCTTTTTTGTTAACCACTTTTCGTAAAACGTTTCATCATCTGTATCATAATCTAAAACTTTTATTTCCTTGTGTTTGCATTTTGGACATGTTCTCTCAAGACATTGCTCGAGCAGATAACCGTTATGGCAGGTAAGTGATTTTACAAGATCCTCTGGTGATTTTTCGTTGATAATTTTCAAGTAATATAATTTAGAAACAATAAGATTCATATTTGTATATAACAAGCACAAACATGTATTTCTTGCTGATACTTTAGGCTGCAGTACCCAAAATGGACGCATTCTACAAAATGTCGTGTATGAAATCGTCATCTCCGGATGAGCGCTTCTAAATTTAACGTAAAGGTTTTTCAAGGTGTCATTTAGGTATCTCTTTTGCATTTTGTATTTTTTGAAAGTTATCGTATCTTTTTTTCCAGGACAAAGCCTACTATTCTCATCTTTCAGGAGAAATGCCCTTACAGATCTGTTAACTTGCAAAACTTTTTGATGCATCATTTGCCTGTTTTTTCTGTTTCCATACAATATAGTGTTAGATGATAGCGATGAAATGAACTTCATGAATCTGTACTTTTTTATGAGAGGCCCCGTGATATTATCAATGAACTTCCTTTTTTGTATAGAATCTCTCTTGCTCTTATAATTTTCTTTTAATTGTGCTGCCATAACTTCACTGAAAAGTAATTTTTTTTTGACTACTTGACTAACATTTAGTCCAGAAACTAGGCTCTCTACATACGTACGGGGACTTGTCTTATTTTGAATTTTCTTCAAACGCTGTACTTGTTTCTTGTATTTTCCTGCTCTTCTTTCCGCCTCCTGTAATTTAATTTCGAGCTTTTTTATCGTTATATTCAGCTTTCTCCTGTTATTCCTTCGAAGTTTTTCGCCGCACGATACCCTACTTCTGGAACTTGAAGTAGATTGTTTCGAAGTACACGGTGTACGATCTTGATTATCAATTTCTGCAGGTATCTCTTGAACTGGTTGTCGACATGGAGATGATGGAGGAGTTTCTTCAGCTAAAAATCTGTTCAATTTTTCTTGTGTTTTCTTCCTTTCATAGCATCTTTTACTTCTGTCCTTCCATTTCCTTCGAATTGTCCTTTTTTTCCTTTCGCTCATATCAGCAACACCTTTTATTTTACCAGCAGCTTTTCTTGCATGGTATCTTTCCCTTTCCTTCTTTTTTGCCTCTTCATATCTAACTGGATCACTTTTAATCGCTTCTCGTAATTTCCTCATACTTTCCCTCACTATTTTCCGTTTTCCATCGGCGCTTTTAACCTTTGGTTTTACAGGAGCCATCGCAGTGAACAGTTCTGTAAATTAAAGCACAAATATCACCTCAGTTACTAAAACCTCACCTCCGTGAGCAGAAATAGTCACGGAGGTGAGGTTCATGGAGGTGAGAAATTATCAGATATCAAATCATATAAGAAAGTATTTTGAGGTTATGGAAACAACGCATGTCGCATGGAGATCTATGTTACTTATTGTAAATATTTATAGATAACAGTTAAAAGAAATCAATTTCTTTTATCAAAAAAAAGTGTAAACGGAGGTGAAAACTCATCTTGAACAAACAGATTATCTTACCTTCGAATTGTAAATTCACTAGATAATAACAACAGTCACCAGTAGTTTTAAGCAGACTTGATAAAAAATGGCTGCTAACTCATAGTTTGAGATGCACACACTAGGTGGTGCCGAAATTGAAGGACTTATTATGTTTTATATAATCACTAACGGAGGTGAGAAAACTATGCGGGGACAATACTTTGACGTAAAATGTAACCTTCCAGGTGATATAAATATAATGTTTTTGATATAGTCCTACTACAACGTCATACGGTGATTCGGTACTGACCGTAGAATTGATTTATCGTTGATAGTTTTTCTATATCAGACGAAAGTATATTTAAATATGGTTCAAGGGACAGTTCACGGAGGTGAGATCTCACCCCTTGTGAATGTAAGAAAAAGGAGAAAAAAAATAAAGAGTGAAGTGACGATAACCTGCTAATGTTCAGTTTACTTAACTATAGTCTTTCTAGCTGTCTACGCTTGCTAGTTTGAAACATAATTTAATTATCCATTAGAGACACGAGTATTCGTCTTCCGTTGAGAATGACCCATATATATAGTGTTCTGATCTAATAAAGGAATTTGAATTTGATTGTTATGGATATTGCTTCATACCGTAGTAGGCGTATTGATAAAGTACCAAACAGTGGAAACAGAAAAGGGGAAATACAGGAATGGCTACAAAGGCATAATGTTCCCTTTGACAATGATATTGTCAAAGCAGAACTTTTAAATTTGATCAAGGGCAATAAAAGTGCTGACAAGTATGTCATCGAAATGGCTAAATCTACCAATCGGACTATTTACACCTACCTCCTTACCATTGCGAGTTTAACCCAATACATAGTTGCTTACACGTAAAATATTTACAAAATAAGTCTTAAAAGTTGCATTGGTAAGAGGTGAGATGAGTATACCTAACACGACATTCTAATTTTCCCACTTTCTACACGTGCGCTTTAAAGCGATTATCCCGATTCCCCCTGCATCCCTAGGGAAGTTTTGCTTGGAGCACGGTCCTGAAGGAAATCTCAGCAGCCAATGAAATCAAGCGGCAGCAACCCCAGCTAGTTTGCGCAGCATCCCTTTCCAGACAAAGGGGACAGACACTCCCTTTTTAAACCGGCGCTTATCATTGGAGGCAGTGAATATGACCGAGTTGCGATGTTAACTTGGCAAATATTATTATGAATCTCGCAAAAAAAACACCTACGTATGTTTATCCGATTTTACTAATTTTTGGAATATACAGGGTGGCGGATCGGAATCGAAACAGACGCATTTACTGGCAGCTCAGTTTTTTTTGGAAAGACGCACCGACCCGTCGATTTTTTTTTTTCGAGGGGGACACAAGTTTGGCAAAAAATCACGTTAACACGTGCATCTCCCTGGGCGGGGGTGACACCAACCCTAAAACCTTAAATGGAAAGGGGGGTCGAGTGATACCTTATTTTAAAGGTCTTTCAATTCCCTTTATAATGATGTAAAATACATGAGCTTCAGTTCAGTAGTTTTGAAGATTTATTGATTTAAAGCTTCACATAGACTTTAAAAGGTACATCAGATTGGTTTGTACTACTTTCAGAACTAGAATTTACTTAATAAGTAAATGCGGTTCTTCACTACGCCCATGATTTGTTTATCATTTTGTTGTTGAAAATAGCTATTGGGGCGTTTTTTTGTGGCAAAAAAGTTATTTCTTGAAGAAAGAGAAGGAAATATCTCGTACTAATTATAAATAGGAATTTAATACATAGTTTGCGATTGATTTGACCAAACTTTGTTGCTAAAATAACTTGTAACGCTTTATTACATAAATTAACCATGGTATATTCCACAGCAGAAATAGTTGAAATTATCGAAATATCTTTCGGAAATAACACTGGACAACAAATTTTAGTTTTTTAATTGTATCTTGTGGGAAAAGTACACTTCTTTGTTAATTTTGGGGCGCTGAATCCAAAAATGACAATGAAATAAAAAAATTAGTTGCGGTTTAGAAAAAAAATTTTTTATTTTTAAGGATATATTAAAAAAGTAACAAGATTCATATACTTATACGAATCACTATATGCGCTGTCTTTTTGCTGTTCTTTTATGGATCGTTTCTGGAGCATCTCTACCAAGAGTCCAACAGTAGTCTGCAAGCATGGAAGGATTCCACTTTCCCTGGTACCTTTTTTCCATTGTTGAAATATCCTGATGAAAACGTTCGCCGTGCTCATCACTTACGGCTCCGCAATTGTCAGGAAAAAAGCCCAGGTGTGAGTGTAGGAAATGTATCTTAAGAGACCTGGCTCTAGGAATTGACGAACAGGCCAGTTTTGTCTGGTGTAATGAAGTGCCTTTGCCCGACTGTCCCATTCACACAAAAAACAGCAAAACTTTGTGTAGCCTAGCTGCAGCCCAAGTAAAAGTGCAACAACTTTCAAATCGTCACAAATATGCCATTGGTACTTATCGTATTTTATGCATGTCAATAGGTACTTCATATTGTCATATGATTTTTTCATGTGAACTGCATACCCTACAGGAAGAGATGGTAAAATATTTCCAATATGCAATAACACTGCCTTTAAACTCAATGTTGAAATGTCTATAAACAATCTCCATTCTTCTGGGTTATAGTTTATATTTAAAGCCTCCAGTAAGCCGTTAATGTTACTGCAGAAAACCAAGTTATTCTCCATATTGAAAAATGGTTCTAAGTCTTTGTGGCGATTACGAAAAACATACCGAAACATCGTCTTCTAACAAGT